CTTCTACCCACACACTCCCTTTCAGCTTCCGTTTTACAAACTACTTCTTATTGAATTTTAGACATAAATTCTAACAAGGTGTGCATATGGTTACTTAAGTACTAGGTGTCCAATGATTTCCTTCCTCTACTCCATGGTCAAATTGATTTGTTTGTTAGCTGAAGTTTCCCATTCTTCGTAGAAATCACAAGATTAACTCAATAATTCAAAATTCTAACGGGAATAATCACATGAATTAATCACAATTGTCAATCCACTGGAATGGATTTCCTCTTAGTAAGATTGTAACATCGCGTTGTACACTCGGAAATGTCAACATTACTTATGATATTAAGCCCAGTTACAATCACATTGGTTCAATTAAAACTACAGATAAATTTTTTCTTTTAAACATTGTTCATTTACTTTTTTAAACAAAATCGTATTTAATATAACTAAGACCGTAATTATAACCATGTAACATTCTCTAAACTGAGACTACTACACTTCACCATTAACTCTAAACTTTTAATTATGATAAACTAGATGTCTAGGGCTCTCCGGAAACATATTACAATAAACATTTGGTTAAGTATAGATGGAGTTATTAATCTCGCAAGGTAGCTGACAAAATCGAACTTTCGAAATTGTAGCATCAACTTCAATCATAAATTGGTGTTGATATACTCATTCAATGACTCTAATATTTTACAAGGTTATAACCCTATGTGTTAGCTTCACATAGGTTCAAATCTCACTCAATTTGAAGCTCTGTAGTTCAAGTTATATGAATTTTACTAAATTACGTTTGTGCTAAAATCGGACAACGCGCTTGAGCGCGCTCTTCAAACATATTTTTCGCTCGGTAGCGCGCTCTAGCGCTCTACGGGGCACTGAGCTCCCGAAGGAATAGAATTTGGTTATCTCCAAGTCTTCAGCTAACTTGAGCGCCAAAAGGCAGAAAATTTTCCTCTATTTCATGCACACAACGCGCTTGAGCGCTCTTATCACCGCTTGAGCGCGCTCTACCTGGGGCAATCTTGATCTCCCCTATTTTTGGTGGTTCACTTGAAGGAGTTCCTCTCTCCCTTCTCCAACTTATTGGTACCTAATTAATGAGGGATTTCCAACCATGAGGCTCTCACATTTCACATACATTTCAAATTGATAAAACATAACTTCATATTCATCAATGTATCAATATCTCAATTATAACTATGCTCTTCAAAATAATTACATGCCAAAGGACTTAGCTACCAAAGGGACGTGATCAAAGCCATTACCCAAAACAACGTTGCAATTACCTTTTGTTGCGAATAATCGGTAAGTGTACCGATCGTTCCAAGCAATAAAAAGGTAAGTAGAGTATCGTCTCCACGAGGATTGAGGCACCAAATTTATTATAATTATTCCTCTCTTGTTGGATTGAAAAAAATAGTTTAAGAACAATTATGGTTTATGAAATGCGAGAACAATTCAAGAAAATGTAAATAATTCGAAAGTTCTTTAGAAACTCAAGAACAAAATATTAAAAGTTAAGAGAATATTTGAGAAAATATTGCGGTAAAGAGACGCCAACACCTTTATGATCCCCACCTTATAACTTGAATTAATGTTTACATTCAATTATGCAATTGATCAAACGATTCACTATCTTTTATTTAATTGGTTAAGCCTTAATTCCTTAATGATCTTAACCTTATCAACCCTATTAGAATCTTAATCCCTTAGAAATCCACTTTTAAGTTGAGCCTTCGAATCAGTGAATCTTTCACGTTTGCGGTTCATATAGCCTATCCCTAGTGCAAATATGAACAGTTATCTTACCTCTTGTCAGGAATTAGAATTCTAATATTCCTATTGAAAACCCTAACTCTCGCAATCCTAAAAAAGTGATCAGTTCTAGAAGAATTATAAGATGAAGAATTAGGTAAAATAAACTCAATTAACATAGATGAATATAAATTTAACCAAACTACAAGGGGTTCACATCAAGGGTTGTGACCCTTACCACAATAATAAAACTACCCAGACATATTCATGTCTGACAAAATAAAAGTAAAAGAAAATAACATTCAGAACCTAAAAGAGAAAAGGAAGATGAAGATCTTCCGTCTTGATCGATCGAATCCTTGAATCTCCGAGAAGCTCCCAAGAATTCTCCATCTCTTTGTTGTTTTTCTCTTCCTAGTTGTCCAAAAGTTCTTCCTTCCTCTGTTTCTGATCCTTTTATTAGGTTTTGGGAAAACCTCCTTTCACTTGCTCTCCAATTGGGCCTCCTTTTGGGTAATTCGCATCATATTAGAGTCAAAAATATATCGCCCACTCACTTTGCGCCAGGCTTGGCGCAACGTGCTTGGGAAAACAGAAGAGGGACTGCAAAATGGCGCATCGTGCGACGTATCCCGCGCACCGTGCGCCAGGTTGCCGCGTCGTGCGCCGCCTCCCGCGCTCTGTGCGCCGAGATGCAGTGGGGACTCGCGTAAAATGGCGCGTGGTGCTCCAGGTACCGTGCACTGTTCGCCGGTCCCGCGCACCGTGTGCCGACTTCAGAGCGCCGTGCGCTAGCGGGAAACTTGACTTCTCTGTTTTTGCTCCCTTTTGTGGCGTTTCCTGCTATTAAAACACATAACTTGAGTGAGAGCATGATTGAGAAGGAATAATCAATATTTCTTGCATTTAATGACTATTTTCACACATTTGTGATTAATTCCTTGCTCCTTTTAAGTTAGAAAGCATCATATGCTAGACGCACATCACCTTTGCAATAATTATGCACTAAGTCCTACAAAATACATCATATGGCCTCAAAATATACATATACATGTGGCAATGTAAATGACATATATACCTACAATCCTAGATGAGATGCAACCCAAAATGATAGGCTATCAACATTTGACATCTAGCTCAAATACGACAATTTGCCACCGGAGGCTCCTGCAACATGTGTACCTGAAAGCAGGTCCCCACAACACAGGGTGAGATATACAAATATACCTTAGTAAACCAGAGGTCCTTGGAGCATCTCTTCACCCCATAGTTCACTCACAGTATAATAGCAATAATAGTAAATAATGCAATAAATACATATTCATGCAGTATGTAAAACATCTCCAAGAGACATCCATCGAGCTCTTATGTCGTCCTAAGGATACTAAGATGCTAATAGTCTTACTGATTAGAGAATCTACCAAATATGATTTACGCATGGTCATGCAACATACAAACATAGGGAAACACCATCCTATGCCACACCCAGTGTATACACATACGTATAACAAAACATTAAACTACTTTATTGCATTTACATACACTATCAACAATCACTACCCCATCAGGACTTGGTGGAACAATAAAAGGATCAACACCCAAGGTCCGAAAGCCTACATCAATGCGCTTCCAAGCTTAACCTTTGTTCACCACCAATGAGCAAACAATCAAGCTTTACAATAGTATCAGCAATCTCACAACAAACACCTACACAAGGTGTAATGCAATTAGTCTATTGCATCTAAGCGTATATGTCAATATTCTCCAACAACAATCACAATTAAGGTATGAACTTACCAATGCTTGACTAAACTCAAGTAGACCAAGTCAAGTCCATAGTCTCTCCCAATGATTGGTCACTCATAATCAGTCCACTTGACTCTATCCTAACATCACAAAGGACCCAATCAATCAAACAACCAACCAAAGGCTCAACAATGCAAGAAAATCCAATTTCAAGCATAAATATTCCCCAAATACTGAAACTACATCAAATGACAAACTAACTTCACTTTAATCATTTATTTATCATTCCTAAAAAATTTTACAAAGAAATTTAACTTCAATCTCTCTCTAATATACCTCACTATTCGTGAATTTTCTTAAAATAAAACCCTAATGCACATATCTTCCAAAACGACAACAAGGGTTGGAGTTCTTACCATAAGTACAACTCCCAAAGGTGTAAGGAAGAGGCACAAAGCTCAAGGAATCAAGACTTCACCTCTAGCTCCACAATAGTTCCCACTCAGAACTAAGTTGGGATTAAGAATGAGGGGAAAATTTGAAGTGGTTTAGGCTTTGGAATGGAAGGTTTTGAGCAAGAAATGGAGAAGTTGTGATCTCGGGCTCATAACCTTGGCCTCTCCCTCTCTGTTTGGTGTCGCTGGAAGAAGAAGAAGTGATGTTGGCTTGTATTTTGTCACTTGGGTATAAGCTCATCTATCTATTCACCTCTATTCACTTCCAAACTTTACCTATGGACTGTAGTATTTTTCTAGACATATTTCTATTTTTACTTTTATCTTTTGGGCACTTTTGTCTACACACGTTTTTACTCCATAATTTTCACCGACTACACTTTTTACTTCAAAAGTAACTCTAATTTATTTAATTAAATATTTTATCTATTTCAACCCACTAATATAAGATTAATTTTTTAATTACATGCAATTAATTAAATATCATGGTGCGGGATATTATAAATTAAGTAAATGATTTCCTAAAGGATAGTTAAGGAATTTTAATTTTCTTCTTGCTGAAAGTGAAAGGTACGGATTTAATTAGAATAGAAAAGCCACATAGAATACTAATTTTCGTTTTTATGCGGCAGAGAAATCAGGGAGGTACAAAACGCGTAAAAGATATTGACCCATAGTTTTCACAATTTTCATTTCCAACCGTGTTAGTTAGACTGAAGAATAAAGCATAGGACAGCATTATCCTGTGTTCTGATTTGATTGTTGTGGCATTTGGGGCAATTCGGCTGAGTAGAAAAACTTGAAGTTGAAATCACGTTCTGAGTGGTATGGTACATAATAATGGCATAGACTTCAGAGGTATGAGTGTGTGTGTGTGTGTGTATGAATCACGTTGTGAGTGGGAGCATAAAGGCAAGGACTTTCGAGGCAAGTTGAAAGGTGCCTTTAAACTAAAAAGAATTATGTCACATATTTACTTATAAATAGTGAAGGAAATTAAGGACTTCACATAATAGCCGATCGACTGAATCACAATATAGCTGAGAAATGAGGTTGGCTTTTGTATTGAATTCCCTTTTCTATTTTGTGGCTTTGCTAATTCAAAATCAAATGTGTAATGGCTGCATAGAGAAGGAGAAAATGGGCCTGCTCCAGATCAAGGCCTACATCGTAGCGCATGATGGTCAGTATGCTAACTATGAATTGGAATCATGGGTTGAAGATAGAGACAGCAATTGTTGCGATTGGGACAGAGTCAGATGCTCAACTGGTCACGTAACACATCTCGACTTGTCTAACTTGTACGCTTCGGTAATGTTAAACGTTTCAATATTTGGTCCATTTGAAGAGTTGCACAGCCTCGACTTCTCTTACAACCGTTGTGAAGGCTGGATTGCCAATGAAGGTTTCTTGTTCCTATATATGGGCCATTCTCTAGCTACTTATATACTTCTTCACATTGGTTTCTCTATTGCAAATTTTCAAATAATAAATAAATGAAACATTTCTCACACCTTGTTTCTTTTGAAGGACTTCCAATATTGAAGAAGTTGGAGACCCTGGACCTTTCAGGAAACTCTCTAAATAACAGCATCTTGCCAAGTTTGAATGGATTACCATTGCTAAGAACTTTGAACCTCCGTTCCAATAAAATTGATGATTTTAAAGGCATGTATCTTTAAGTCTATTATTTTTTATTTTTTTATTGTGATTACCAACGATGGATCACGGCACTTGACTGCTTTTCTATACGATAAAGGTATTTTATTCCCTCTTTTTTTTTTTTTTTTTTTTTCTTTTTTATGTTTCCAAGCAACAGATTTTGTCAATTTTAGTCGGTTGGAACTGCTGGACCTAAGTTCCATTAATCATATGGAGGGTTCCATAGATGACAGAGCTACTTATTATCAGTATTGTTGTTCCTACTTATTTTAACATATATAAACCATATATTTTCAAAATAAAAAGTTGATAACCACCTTTACTTTTTATTTTATCTCTCGCTAAACTTTTTCCATTTTTCCTCATCTTTTTGACTTAACACATGCAAGCGGGGCCTTAAACAGTTCTTTCTTCCATTACCTTTGACAGCGGCCATAATTACTCCAGCACAGAGAATAGAAGACACATACTTTGTGCATCTTCACCTGCTAGCAAACAAAAAACCCTCGCCAATAATAAAATAAAGGGTACAGTCCCTTTTGGTCCGTAACAAAAAAATTATGATCCTCACTTTTGTCCCTTACAAAAAAAATATCTATATTAGTCTATTTTTAGAGACTAAATTGAGTCTTCATTTAATTTCTGAAAGACCACATTTTCAAATAACTGAAATTGAAATTGTAGAAGACCAAAAGTTGACTCTCTTTTTTGTAAAGGATGAAAATGGAGATATTTTTTTTGTTAGAGATGCAAAATGAGCTTTACTCTAAAATAAAAGTCCGTTTTTTCTGCTATCATTGCAGCTGATTTTTTTTGTAGTAGATACAAGAGAAAATGAGATCTATTCATTTAAAGAAATAAAAATATATAAAAGTCAGGATCTGTCAGTGTATTAGAAGTTTTTTTTTGTTGCTACTACAGAGCTATATTTCCCATAAAATAAACAATGCAAAGCAAGCATTAAGGAACCTTTATTCAGATAAGAAACAAAGAATTATAAACCTTGTTGAGGAGTGAAGGTTGTTTTGTTAACTTGTGATAGTCAAACCTCCAATTATCAAAGCCGAGGTCATTAGGAGGTACTGCATTATTACACTTACTGCACAAAACGTGTCAGCGCCACAAAAAATATGTTGTATAAGCTATCTTAAAACATGGGAATCTAATAGTTATGTATATCCACAAACATCATCTAAATTTATGTTTGCTGAAATATTGTTATGTCATTAAAGTAGATCTGGCATTCATCACAACAGACCTAATTAAAATGTGTCATGCAGCATATATATTTGTTACCAAGTTTCAATCTCTCAGACCTTGTTTCTTTTGAAGGATTTCCACGATTGAACAAGTTGAAGACCCTAGACCTTTCAGGAAACTGGCTAAATAACAGCAACTTGCCAAGTTTGAATGGATTACCATTGCTAAGAAGTTTGAAGCTCCGTTACAATTATATTCATCATTTTAAAGGCATGTATCTTTAAGTTTTATTATTATTATTATTATTATTATTGTGATTACCAACGATGAATCTTAATACTTGACTATTTTCCTATATTACAAAAGGTATTTTATTCTCTTTTTTCTTTTTCATGTTTACTTGCCACAGATTTTGCCAATTTTAGCCAGTTGGAACTGCTGGACCTAAGTTTCAATCATATGGAGGGTTCCATAGATGGCAGAGGTACTTATCATTATTGTTGTTCCAGCTTATTTTAACTTGAACCATATACGTCCAAACATTATTGATTACTAGTGTAAAGAACCTTGAGATAGACCACCCAAAAGCTAGCTCAAAGGGTGGGAGTGCCCAAGGCCTTATAAACTCCACATTAGTTGCACATCTAATGTGAGACTATATATCTCAACACGCCCCCTCACGCAAGAGCCCTTTGGGCTTGAAGCGTGGATTATGCACAGACCTAATTTTTGGTTTTAATTCCACTTTAAAGTGGGAGGCGGTGAGGGCTCAAGCTCTGATACCATATAAAGAACCTTGGGATGCACTACCCCAAAAGCTAGTTCAAATGGTGGAAAATGCCTTATAAACTCCACATTAATTGCACATCTAACTAATATGAGACTATATATCTCAACAACTAGTGTGAAAAAAAAACCCTGATATACACAGTTCCGGTCTTTTAAATGTCCCTTTCTTATTATATTCATAATATTCGTTATAAAAATTTTATTGTAAAGAGTGTATTCCTAATTCTCTCATTAAAAATTGAACTATTTTTTTTTTCTATACTCTAGTCTAAAGTATGCCTCAGACTAAATTATCGCTATACAACAACGAACACTAGGAACAGCTCCCTGTATATAAACTTCCTCATACCATTACTTTTTTTAATTTTGATTAGAAATTCAATTGTGAATAAAATAAGTCACACATTACGAAGGCGTGGACTCAATAATGTTCATATAAGTAAAATATTTGTGAATATAATGTTTGAAGATTTTGAGTTAAATATAATAACAAACTCACAATGTGATGCTTGCTAATTTAGTAAGAAGGATATCTCCCATGTATTTTGTTATCTAATTTTATACATCTTGTTCCCATTCATTGCATTAAAATGTTTAGTTCAACATATTTATTTTCTAATATTCCAAGAATTTAGAATGTCCAATTACTTTTAAAAAATACAATGGCTTTATATTTTTGTTGTAATAAAGCACAGATTTTTTAAATAACTACTATGACAACCTTCACGCCATTTGCTAAATTAAGTAACTATAGCTACCATGCATGTAGACAATATTTACCTCTAACGAAGAAATTCAAAATTTATAAAATGGACATTGTGCCCAAAATCACACCAATTAGTAGATGCCCAAGCTTGGGTCACTGGAGGTATAGGGATAGGAGACCCAGATATATGTAACTCGAAAGCAATAAAATAAAATATTACAATACGAAGAAGATTTGAGATCATATATCTTCTATTTTATTTATTTTTATATGTCTTTCTTTTTTTCCCAAATTTTTATATGATGAATTTTCTCAGCCTATATGCTCGTCTAAATTTCTCAAGCTTTCAACGAAGAACCTTTTGGAATTGAAAGGGTTTTTTTTTTTTAAATTGTTTCGCGACTAGTCCGATTCGGGGTGGGTCTCGGGATTAATACTTTAAACCCCTCTCAAAGACTACTGAGAAGGATCGAATACATGCTCTTCCCGCACCTGCTCAGTTCCCTAACATCAAGTGAGCTACCATTGAATCCAAAGGTTTTTTAACCCTATTAAACAACTATTCATTTAAAGGTAATATTCTGTAACTTGGGCTTTTTACGAACTGAGTACTTAGACATGCACAACTAGGCACCCTCGAGGCTAAAAGTATATCTTAATATTCATGATCTGGGTAACTTGCACACCGAGACACCCACTGGACTGAACAATTCCCTAATTTTATTCAAGCAGGACATCTAAATCTCCTTTCCGCGTTTGAGCACCTGCTTTAGCTAGCTTGCTAATGTCACTCTTATCATTTTGATCACAAACATATTTCAGTGACTCCTCTTGTCTCTTCTTCCTCATTTTGATCACACTTATCTTTTCTCCAATTTAGCTCAGTTTACTTACATAAAAAGCAGGAGGTAGGTACTCGGATTTTGTAATCTTTTTATGCCAAAAAAAAAGTCTTAATCAGTTTATATCGATTTTGGTCATTCGCTTTTTCGTAAATAAATCATGATTAAATTTAATAAAAAAACTTATGGCCCAAATAATAGTAAATTGGCCCAAAAATGTTTATCAAATAAATTTAATGAAAATGATGCAAACTTGCGCGTACACACGTGTAAGTTTATTTTGTTTGATTTTATTAATGAAAATGGAAATCTGAACTAAATTAAATTAAAAGTAACTAAATTATATATTTGTTTATTTTTGAAAATATTCCTATCAGTTCATTGCTTCGCAACTAATCCAATTCGGGACGGGTTCAGAATTAAGGCTTTAAAGTTTAAACCTCTTCCAAATGTGGTACTGGAGAGATTATGTTATATATTTTGTTTTCTATTAGACTATTGGCTTTGGTTATAAGCACTAATAATATTTTTAATACCAAACAGATAACACGAAACAAATTATGGTAAAAACTTCAATATGGCCAGACTTTGATATTATGACAAATTTGTTACAGGCTCATAAATATTATTTATCTCTAACAATATTTTTCTTATTACAGGTCTTCAGAAATTGGGAAACTTAAAAGTTTTAGACTTGTCTGGAAATTATTTGAACGGCTCAATAAAAGGTATTATAAAAGTAATTTAATACACACATATATAATTTGTTTCGAAATATTATTTAGGGAAAAACATAATTACGGCATGTTAATAAAATACGTATTTTAAAATTTTTGTTAAATATTTTAAAAAGTCTTACAACCAAACTCATGCTTTTATTTTATTTTTTTGTTAACAAGAATGGTAAAATAAGCTAATAACTTAACAATCTTATAAAAATGACATGCAATATTTTAATTATAAATCCTAAACTTTAAAAATACTTCAGTTCAGAACGATACTTTAAATTATTATTAATATTTCTTCCTTTAACATTTAGTGGCATGATATTTTTTCTAAACAACTTTTCATATATACTCAAGGATTGTTTCCACAAATAAGGATTCGCAATGCAAAATCTGACCAATATATATTATTTATGGCAGGAATTTGCAAAATGAAGGATCTTGTAGAGCTGGATCTTAGCAGCAACAAGTTTAGTGGTCCAATTTCAGGGTGTTTAAGTATATTAAGGAACCTCCAAGTCCTTGATCTCTCTCATAATATGTTCAGTTGCAATTTTCCATCATTCACAAGCAATCTCACATCTCTCGTGTACTTGTCTTTCCTTGACAATTACCTACAAGGATCATTTTTATTGAGCACCTTGGCTAACCATTCCAACCTTCAGGTTCTGTATATTAATTCTCTAAGTCCTGGTGCACATGTTGAAACCGAAAAGACTCAGTGGGTTCCAACATTTCAATTAAAATCCCTCATCCTTCAAAGCTGCAAGTTAAACATGGATAAAGGAAGGACCATTCCTAGTTTTCTTCTATATCAAAAAGACCTGCAATCTATTGATCTCTCCCACAACAAATTAGTTGGAGCATTCCCAAGTTGGTTGATACAAAATAATTCAAGACTCCAAATTTTCTTTTTGATGAGTAACTCATTTGGGGGGCATTTTCAACTATCCTCCATCAGACAAAACTTATCCATCCTAGATATATCAAACAACAATATCAATGGTTTCCTGCCAAAAAATATTGGTACTTTCCTTCCTGAGATTAAGATGTTGAATATGTCAAAGAATAACTTTGAAGGAAATATACCTGCATCAATTGGTAAAATGCAACAAATTTCCTTTTTGGATTTGTCTGACAATTCCTTCTCGGGTGAGTTACCGGAACAACTAGCCACAAATTGGACTAACCTGGAAACCTTGAAGCTTTCTAATAACTTTCTCCAAGGGAATATTCCTAGATTTTCTAATTTGTACGAGTTGTATCTCAACAATAACAAGCTCTATGGCACTCTTAAAGAAGTGTTGGAAAATTTAAACAGTGGAGAATTGGCATTATTAGACATATCCAATAATTCAATCTCAGGTGAAATTCCTGCTTCAATTGGGAAGTTTTCATCACTCGGGATTCTTCTTATGGCAAAAAATCAATTAGAAGGTGAGATCCCATTTGAGTTTTCCAACCTGACATACCTTTTTATGTTAGATCTTTCTCAAAATAGAATATTAGGGTCAATCTCGAGTATGAATCTTTCATACATGAGATACTTGTATTTGCAAAAGAATGCTTTCTCAGGCTCTATACCTTTCACATTTTCTGAGGGACCAAAGCTAGTAACTCTAGACTTGAGAGATAATAATTTTTCTGGGAGTATCCCTTATTGGATGGATAAGCTGTCAAATCTAAGAGTGCTTTTATTAGGAGGGAACAATTTTCATGGTCATATCCCAATCCAATTATGTCAATTGAATGGTATCACCATTATGGATCTCTCACTCAACAAGCTGAATGGTTCAATACCATCTTGCTTCAATAATTTGTCATTTGGAATGCTAGAAACTTATAATCATGACCCTATATTTGAATTCCCATGGCCAACATCTGCACTTGAAGGCACAACCTTTTTTGATTCTAGAAACTTCCTTAATGTAAGTGTGTCATTGTATAAAGTGTATCCACAGAATATGCTTTCTGGTGAGATGGTATCCTTTTATGAGGTAATAGCAACAATTGTGGAATTTAGAACGAAGAGTAACTACTACTCTTATGGAGGCAACATCCTAGAGAACATGACTGGATTGGATTTATCATGTAATATGTTAAGTGGGATCATCCCTTCTCAAATTGGAAACATGCAACAAATTCATGCCTTGAACCTATCCCATAATTATTTGTTAGGTTCTATACCAAACACTTTTTCCAATCTTACCCAGATAGAGAGTCTTGACTTGTCCTACAACAACTTGTGCGGTGAGATACCTTCTCAACTAACACAGTTGAACTTTTTATCAATCTTGAATGTGTCATACAATAATCTATCTGGAACACCACCAAGTACAGGACAATTTGGAGACTTTGATGAGGACAACTACAGAGGTAATCCTGGTCTCTGTGGACCACTACTGAAGCAGAAGTGTGAAGGTGTTGCAACTCCGCCATCATCAGAATCCAACAACACGGTAGCAAAGGAAACAACAGTGGACATGGAAGCATTCTATTGGAGTTTTTGTGCATCCTATATAACAATACTGTTGGGGTTCATAATGGTGCTCTACATAAATGCTTATTGGCGCATGGCCTTGTTTTATTATATGGGTAAGATTATACGTACATGTTTTCCATCATTTCCTCTGTACTGAAAAATATCAAATTGTTGTGATTATTTGTAAGAACATTCCCACAAATAATCCCAATACTTTGGGACCCTGTTTTTGTATTTGAATTAAAATGGAGAGGTTGATGTTCTCTTTCTCTCTTTTTGCATTGTTCCCATTTTCGCAATTTTGGGGAAGAAGAAGGAAGAACTCTTGCTTCTTTCATCTGGTTGTTCTTTTTTTTTTTTAAGGAAAATTCTTCATGCATGTTTTATATTCCTCCGCTTTTGCAATTGTGGATTACATTACTTTCATTTAAACTTTACTTTCCTGGAGTTTTTAAAATAGAATAAACAAATTGAGAGCAGTTTCCAATAATTTTTTTTTTTACATTCTGTTATAAAACCCATGAGATTATAAAATTTAGTATTATTAAAAATAATAATTTTCCTGCAAAAGCTCAATTAACAGAAGTAATAAAATGAACTTGTGTTTTTACAAAAAAAATGCAATAATTTTAAAAACAAAAAAACGTTATTAAGATGATGTTTTTTTAATAAATTTTGAAAACTTAATAAACAATTATGTGAACATAATTTGATAAATACACCTATATCAGGATCCTACACAAGATTATCTTGCTCGTTAATGGAGTCTATATACGAAAGCATTTGACTCCAATGATTCTTGGTAGTAGTTATATGTTAGTCTAATTGATATCTCAGCCTTAATGTAACTCCTAATAACGACTATACCATTTTGACTTTGGCCTAAAGTTAAGAAAAAAAAATGTATTTCAGTTTCTTCTTTTAAATGAGAAGTAAAGATAGAAATGAAACGGTTTTTAAAGAGAGAAAGAGTAGGCCAAGGAAGGTTTCTCCTCCTAAGGTTTCAAATTCTTTTCCTTAATTGAATCCTTTGTTTATCATAAATGATTTTCATATAACAAGTTTGATTTGTTATTATGGCAATAGAAATAACAAAAAATACAAATCCAACATAATTAATATCACTAAAAACCCATAAAAGAAAATGGAAAAGAATACATTCAAAAGAGAATTTTGTAACGACCATTGATGTTCTTAACATAAGATTTAATTTAAATGAAAAAGAAAAGAATACATTAAAACGCAACAAAATAATCACATTGAAAAGTGAATTTTTTAACGACCATTGATGTTCTTGACATAAGATTTAAGTGGTGGAGGAAAAAAATTTAAATTATATAAAAAGGAAGATAAAGTGCCACCTCTTCCCTTCTTCACCAAGGAACTCCCTTATTCTCTCATGACAACCACCAAAGACACCACATTTCTTCATCTTTCTACCACCCAACCATTGTAAACACTTGAAAGTAAGAATTTTGGAGGAGAAAAATCTCTTCTTCTGAAATCAAGATTCTGTTTTGTTGGGTTTAAGGGCTTCCCCTCCTTCATTTGGGAGCTTGAACTATTTACACACATCTTGGAACACCTAGGAGCTCTCTTTTTGCAAAAAGAACCAACCTTTGGAAGCTCCACTTTGGTGCACCTTGCCGGACAGTGGAAATGAGTAGTGCTAGAGCCTTGAAAATTCCTTTCTTTAACTACTTTGAAGCTCTTAGATATATACCTCAACCTTTTTCCTTTGTGTTTTTATGAAAATAACATGATTTGGATATGTAAAATGGGAATTTTGGTAAGTAGGTGTTAGTTATTAAATCCAAAAGTAAAATGAGTACGTTGAATCTCTAGAAGGGTGAAAAATCGAGTCTTGAACGGATCATTTCGCATTGAACGCTATTTTGGGCAACTGACACAAAATGGATATTGAAAATCTGATATCCGGATATGGATATTCCTTGATAAATATCCAGATAGTGAGATAACAGCAGACCTAGTTTAGTAAAATCGCGATATCTCAAGATAACCGTATTTTGTGTTTGAAGTAGCAACCCTGCTCTTGGAAATCCAGTTTACAGCAGTCATTTTGCGAAAAATATATCTCAAGTTATATAAATCCAATTGAGACATATAATATGTAGTTGAAAATCTTCAGATATCTAGTTTAACATGGTAAAATCTTAGAATTTTTGGTAAAGAGAGGCAACACCAATTTTAAAAAATGGTAAACACGGTTTAGTGCCGAATACGCCAATAGAGTTACTTTCTTTGGTTTGTTCTTCAAGGAAATAACTTAACACCGAGTGTGGGGTATAGGGTGAATCCTTATACTTGTATGTAGCAAGAAGTTGCGTAAATCATACGATATGTCTTTGGCCATAGGATTTATCTTTTGCACACGCATGTTAAATACTTGATGATATATTATATTGTTTTATAATGATGCACTATTTTACGATGATTGTATTATTTTGCTATTATTATTGCTAAAGTGAACTTAGGGGCGGAGAAATCCTTCGAGAACCCCTAGTATACTGAGATTGTCATCTCACCCCGTTTGGGGACCATTTTTCAGGTGTTGAGACTCATGATATGGGTGCATCTTGAGGCAAGAGGCCGACGTAAAGATATTGACATGTTGCATTTCTTTCATTTGTTAACAGAGACCGAGTCTGTTGATCAGGTGATGCCTCAACTAGAGGCTGTAGACACCCATCTCCGTAGGACTTTTACGGTTAGTCGTCCACCTAAGAGGTACAAATTTATGATTGAGAATCAGCAAACCGTTGAGGATAACGAGCCTACTTCCTACACTGAGGCAATCAAGGATGTTGACTCCTAAGAATGGCATAAAGCCATGGAGTTCAAAATAGATTCGATGTATCAGAACAAGGTATGGACCTGAGTTCCATCACCTAAGGGAATTATTCCAATTGGGTGTAAGTAGGTCTTCAAAAGGAAGACTGATGTTGATGGCAACATCCAAACCTATAAAGCTAGGCTAGTTGCAAAGGGCTATCATCAAAGGCAAGGCATTAACTTTGAGGAAACCTTCTCACCCGTTGCTAAGATAAAATCTATTAGGATCATATTAGCCATAGTCGCGTATTATGATTATGAGGTTTGGCAGATGGATGTAAACACCGCCTTCTTGAATGGTTTCTTGAAGGAGAAAGTGTATATGACACAACCTGAAGGTTTTCAATCCAAAGGCTAAGAGCATATGGTATGCAAAGTTCAGAAATCAATTTATGGGCTTAAGCAAGCTTCAAGGAGCTGGAATCTTTGTTTTGATGAAGTTGTTAAGGGTAACAGCTTTATCAAGAATGAAGATAAACAATATGTTTACTAGAAGGTTAGTGGGAATGTTATTGTCTTCCTTGTACTTTATGTGGATGACATATTACTCATTGGAAATGATATTCCCATGTTGTAGTCTACGAAGATTTGGTTGTCAGAGAACTTCATCATGAAGGATATGGGAGAGGCGGTCAATATACTTGGTATTAGGATCTATAGAGATAGATCCAAGAGGTTGTTGGGTTTATCCCAATCCACGTACACAAATAAGAAGCTCATGGGTGGGTCGAAAAAGGGTTTTCTCCTGTCAGTCATGGCATTCACCTTTCTAAGGCTATGTATCCTCAGACACTGACTGAAAGGGAATGCATGGAGAGGATTCCATATGCATCAGCAATTGGATCCATCATGTATACTATGTTATGTACGAGACCAGACGTCTTTTATGCTTTGAGCATTACGAGTCGAAACCAGGCTAACCCTAAGAGGTCATTGGATGGTCGTAAAGACAATTTTAAAGTACTTAAGAAGGACTAAGGATCTGTTTCTTGTTTATGGTGGTAGTGGTGAGCTGAAAGCGAAAAGGTTCACTTATGCAAGCTCGCAGAGTGGCAAAGATGACTATAAATCTCAGTCAGGCTTTGTTTACACATTAAATGGTAGAGCAATTTGTTGGAAAAGTTCCAAACAGTAGACCACGACAAACTTAACTACCGAGGCAGAATACAAAGCAGCTTCAGAAGCGACTAAGGAGGCAGTCTGGAACAAGAAGTTTGTTATTGAACTTGGAGTGGTTCCTAGCATTGTTGATCCAATACCTATGTATTGTGACAACACCGGAGCTATAACTCAAGGTAAGGAACCTAGTTCTCATCAGAGGTCTAAGCATGTGCTCCACAAGTATCACCTCATCCAAGAGATTGTTGAAAGACTGGAGATAAAGATGGACTACGTTCCCACCGATGATAATTTTCCCGATTCTCTGACGAAGTGTCTCTCTTAGAGAAAACATGAGTATTTAGGTTTGACACGTCGACCTGATTGGCTTTAGGCCAAGGGGAGATTTTTAATATGTACGTGTCATAAAGACAATCTATTTTATCATATGACCACCTTGTACTGTTTGGTATTTCATGATTTATACATTTGAGTATGCTTAATCTTTATCATATTTATGTCTCGCCTATATTTTACGGTTAATATGTGTTTAAAGATAAAGGCCTTAGGAATAGAACAGGTGTTTCACTCGAGGGTCTGTAATAGGGATCATGATCATGAGGACTCGAGGACACTACATATTTATTGCTTGAAATTTGTTTCTAGTCTTGAGTCACCAAGATAGGACACTGGTGATCTCAATAAGACTAGTACAACATCATCTACTTGTATAGAGATACAAGGTAAGGACCTCAAGGAATGCAGGCATGATGATGCCTTAGCTGATGTCGTGGGTGGATATGTTAGAGAACAGATGGCACTGAACTGACCCTCCGAGAGACTCCACAAGGATTCATTATAGAGAGTATATTTGGATTTGTAAAGTCTCTCATCGTTTGGTAGTGTGGATCGTCCTAGACTTGAGGATGTCATCGAAAACTATGTCCTAGGGTTATACTTTAACTGTATAACTCTATTCGCCTGAAAATGGGGAGAACAATGTACTCTTGGATATAAGTTAAATACATAAGTATAGATAGACATGCTGAAAGGACTCATAATCCCCTACAAGGGATTAGTCATTCACAATAACCAGTAGGACTTGGATGTATAACACCTCACATTTCTAAATCATATATTAATATATTAAGGGATTAAAGGGAATGATTAGTGAAAATCCTAAAATTAAAGCCAAAATACAAAGGAAGGATAAAACAGTAATTAGCTAAACACGTAACCTTAGGAAGGTAAAATTGAGTAGGAGGTCTAAAATGATAAAACTAACCCTGGAAATGGATTCAGAACGAAAAGTTGAGTGGTTAGGCAAGTTTCTGAAAATTGGGTGAATGATGTTTTACCGGGTAAAAATATCGCGGTACAGTTGCACCGTAAAGCGTGCCGAATGAATTTTGAGCTCTAAGTTTGGATATAAGTTATAAATGGTACATAGGACTAGGAGATATGATTTTTGGTGAAAATTGATGGAAATGAGTGTGTTTGGGGAAGCGTGCCCACGATGCGCATAATCGCTTAAAACTGCGATTTCTCCGAACGACCGAAAAACTCCGGATTCATCTGATCATGGGCAATTAAAGGACAATGGTTAACGTTAAAAATTAGAGTTTCTAAATAGTTTATGAAATTATGGACGTTTAGTGGAATAGGCGAGAGATTTGAATTCGTTTGAAATCGCGTGAGGTGGCGATGGGGCCCACCTCACTTAAGTGACTTATGCCACTTGTCCTCCATCACTATTCACTAATCTTCTTCCCTTTTCTCTCTCTCAAAACCGTGCTTCTCCTCCCACCATAGCCAACTTTCTTCCAAATTTTTTTTTCTCATAACTCCCTCCATACTCACTCAAATTCAACAAAGTTTGTCACTAAAGTTGTTGGAAATTATCATCCAAACACAACCACGGTAGTCTTGAGTCTTGAAACTCGCTAGATTGGGAGAAAATCTCCAAAATCAGCCGTGACTGTGGTGGAGGATTTGGGGTTTTTGGTGTTGTATGTTCAAGCCACTGCTTGGGTATCACTTAGAGGAGTCTTTGGCCAAGCTTGTGAGTATATTTCAACACATTTCATTGGGTGAATCATGAATTTTAAATTTGGTGACCTGGAGTTGATTTGTATGAATTGATGTAGTTAGAGAGCTCAAATTGAAATTGTGTATTAGACAAATGTGGCTTAGAATGATGTTTTAGAGTGATTGATGTCATAAAAATTATTGATGAAATTGGATGATAGCTTGGAAAAATTTTGTATTGAGATGTCATGACTTTATGAAATTGATGTGTTAAATGATTGTGTAATTGATCTGTGGAGTTGTTGTATGAGTTAATTATAGGATTTTAAGGTGTGTGGAATTGTGGAATTAGATTGAATACCCTTTGGTTATGGGACTTGAATAGTTCAGCCAAGTGAAGGATTAGGGTTTGATGTTGTAAAATTGTGTAATTGATGTGGTGTGGTGTTAAATGGTATTTGGATGAGTTGAGTGTTAAGTTGATGTATTAGAAATTAAAGAAAAAAATGCTTGGAGTGTGTGTGTGCATTCGAACCTAGAATGGAATAATTGGAAAAATGGTGTAGTGATGGTGTAGGATGGAAAATGGGGCTTGAAATGGTGTTGGGGTAACCTTGGAATGCTAATGGAAAATTAAAATAAAATTAAGAAAAATATTTGGTAAAATTGGCCTATAGAGGCCGAACCTATGTTTTGGGGAGGGAGGAATTTTGGTGCTTTGGAATCTTGTTGATTTCACCTTGTATTGATGATCCTTGTGTGATCATTGTAGATTGCCTCCCTCGAAATTGAACTCGGAGCTTTGAGCTTGGTGGGTTGCCTTTGGTCCTTGACCAAAGGGATTTTGGTAAGTGATTATGAATTGATGCATGAATTCCTTTATAATCATGTATATGCATTGGTGAATGGAAGTTGAAATGGGAATGTCCTATGTGTAGGCATTTCTTGTGGTACCAAGCTTATGACGTATTGAATTGGAGATGTTAAGAAGGAGATTATTCAGGTAATCCTTTGGTACTGGGGTTTGATCCCCGTGTGTGCTCCACCATGCCTGTTAAGGGTAGTGGTTGGATGTGTATGTTGGTAATGTAGTATAACATGTTCATGCATTGTTTTATGTTTAGTGGTACATAGGATGTACCGAGTCTCTGGCCAGTAGACTGTTGCTTTCAGGAGTTACGGACTTCCACTAGATAGGTCTCCATGAGGGATTCCCAGTTGACCTGGGGTCGTGGTGTGTCATCCATAGAGGAGCACACTAGGAAGTCTCGTGGTGTGTCATCCAGTTGTTCTGGGATATGGAACCCGTAGGCTATATGCCGAGGCCACTAGGCCGGATGTTGCGTGGTATTGGCATCGACCATTCCAGCTTCATCGTATTTTATTCTCTATGCTTCCCTACTTCACTAAATTCCTTGCTTTATACTGTTTTGAATGTTGTATTATATTATGGATATGCATCGAAGTGAGCCATTGGGCGGAGTAATCTCCAGAACCTCTGGGTTACTGAGATATATTTGTATATCTCACTCCGTTTTGGAGACTTCATTTCAGGTAGTGGCAGTGGTGCTGGAGCGGCGGGCAAGAGGCTCGTATGATTAGCTTGGACATAGAGCCATTTTACATTTTGTGGCCATTGAGCCTAGGCTAGACTTAGGGCATGAACATTGTATGTGGAGTTAGGATTATGCATTGTATCATCGATGTTCATTTCATATTTTGTCTAAGTTTAGCTTATGTTTTGTATATTGATGTTGCTTCTTGAGGTTATTGTAATATTTGTAAAAAAGCTTGTAATTTGTAATTTGAGACATTGTGTAATACTGAAGCATGTTATGTGATGAAGGGGGAATAGGCCTATTCTAGGATATGAATTATGCTTTATGTTTCAAGGATGCATGTGTAAGAACCCGCACCGTTAATTAAGGAAATTAATTAAATAAAGATGAGAATTAGGAAATAATTCCATAATTGACCCTAATAATTATGAGAAGGCTTGAATAAATATAGAAAGTGATTAATAATGCTGAAAGTCGTTTTTCTGACGAAAAGTGCAGATACCGGTTCTGCTACTCGATATAAATGCGTACCGATGAAGTATCCCAGAAAATTATAATAAGTGCATGAATATTTTTAGAATAATATGTAGGACTTGTAAAACAAGTTTCAAGTCAAAATAATGAGAACTGGTGCCAGAACTGATACTGTCTATGTAAAAGCGCGTACCGAAAAGGTGCTGCGAAAAAAAAAATGACAAATCTTAGAAAAATAGCTAGATTCAGAATATAAAGTTTGGGATTAAAATGCTAAGCGTAGCTATTAGTGCTAATACTGTGTGTTTAAATTTAAGTGAGCTATAAATACTCACTTTGGCCCAAAACCCTAGGCCATATTCTAATCCTGCATGAGTCTCTTGCTGAAGCTCTCAATCAGCCACCCTCTCCTCCCTTAAAACTTGAGCTTTTCTCCATAGAAACTCCCCAAGGTCTCACCTTTTCTTTGACTCTTCCTCTTTGAAGTTGTAAACACTGTTTTGTTGAGCATTGTGAGGGAGTATGGTGTAGCCTTCTGTGTGTGAGCTGCTGCCTTTGGGGTGGTTTGTTGGCTGAGTTGTTGAGTCTTTTGGAGGAAGCCTTTTCTTTCCTTTGGAGGCTTCAAGAAGTCATGTTGATGGAGAAATGTCAAAGCTTGTTGTTAATTTTTGTAGTCTTGTAGTGGCTGAACCTTGGTGCTGTGTAGAGGACCCCTTTTGTGTCTCATTTTCGGAGTTTTGGAGCCTTGGAGGTATACATGATCACCTCTTTGTCATTTTGATGTTTTAAGCTTGTTTAATCGGTTAAAAAGTAAAACTTGGATCATTTGAGTAAAGAAATGTGTTTCTGAGTTCTTAACAAGTTAATGAACATCTGTTTATGGAGTCATTGGACTCCAAATCTCGTTTGGACCCTTAAAAATGGGATTATGCAGTTGGCAGTTCGTACTTCTGCATTCTGATGGATAAGTATTTGAATACTTTTCGGGTAGTATTCGAATACTTGTCCTCTGGTAGTCGGATACTCCTTGCAGGAGTATTGGGATACTTTTCTGGGAAGAAAAATATTCGGATACCTTGAAGAAGTATTCAAATACTGGATAGTATTCGAATACTTGGGTATTTGGTATTCGGATACTGTGGTATTCAGATACTGGGGAAAAGTATTCGGATATTTTGTGGTATTTGAATACTTAAGTGAAAGTATTCGGATACTTTCTGGAGACAAGGAGTATTCGAATACTCATCGTGGAGTATTCGTATACCTCCTGCAGAAACAGCACGAA